GCTGTTAGTGGAACTTGTTAGGCTGTTAGGGAAAGTGTTAGGCTATTAGGGAAGTGGTTAGTCTGTTAGTGGAAGTTGTTAGGCTGTTCGGTAGGTTGTTAGGCTGTTAGTGGAAGTTGTTAGGCTGTTAGTGGAAGTTGTTAGGCTGTTAGGGAAAGTGTTAGGCTATTAGGGAAGTTGTTAGGCTTATGGTGGAAGTTCTTGGGCTGTTAGTGGCAATTGTTAGGCTGTTAGTGGAAGTTGTTAGACTGTTAGTGGAAGTTGTTAGGCTGTTAGTGGAAGTTGTTAGGCTGTTAGGGAAGTTGTTAGTCCGTTTGGTGGTCAGCTCAGTTCATTAGAGTTTCGTTGGTCAGCTCGTTTGGGAGGTTGTTAGCTTAGTTGTCAGTTAGTCAGGTTAGACGGTTCATCAGTTCAAAAGTTCGTTAGTCAGCTCGTTAGGGAGGCTGTTAGGTTAGCTGTTAGTCAGTCAGTTAGGTTGTTAGTTTGGTTGTTATGTCAGTGAATTTCTAAACGAGATAGTTCAGTTCAGTAGTGTTTCGTTGGTCAGCTTTTTAGGACGGTTGTTAGTCAGTTAGTTGGGATAGCCGTTTTGGCAGTTAGGGTAGTTAGTCATTTTTTGACAGCCATTCCAACACAGTAGTTTCGTTTGTCATCTTGTTAGGGAGGTGTGTTAGATTTTTTTTTATTAATTGGGATGTCCGTTCGGTTGTTAGGGTAGATTAAGATGTCTGTTTGGTTGTTAGTTAATTGGGTTGTTAGTTTGACAGTTGGTTCGTTAATAACTTCTTCAGTTAGTAAGTCAGTTGGTCAGCTAAATGGTCAGTTATATTAGATTAGATGGCCAAATGGTCAGTTATAATCAGTTGGTCAGTTATAATCAGTTAAATGGATAGTTAGTATGTAGGTTAGTTAGTCAATTTGTTGGTCGGTTAGTCAGTTAGTCAGCAAGTCAGTGACTCATCAGATTATCTTTTAGATTTCTCATATTTGAAATAAAAGAAAAAAAGAATGAAAGGCAGAACGAAAGAAAAAAGAAAAGAGCGATAAAAAAGAAAAGAACGATAAAAAAAAGAATAAAGAGGGATAAAAAAGAGAGAAAAGAGAGGTAATGACAGAAAAAAGTGAAAGAAATAAAAGAAAAAGAAACACATGAAGAACGTAAGAATAAAAAATCTGATCGACTACACGAGAGAAATAGAGAGATGATCAAACATTCGGGGGGGGGAAAATGAGTAAATATGAAGAAGAAGAATAATTTCATTTTCGAATGCGAAGGACAAAGCGATTCGTTTATTCCGCGTCTTTGAGTTTTCATGTTTTTTTTCTTTCTTTCTTTTTTTTCTATTTCTTCCATTTCCCTTTTTGTTTCGTTTTAATTTATTTTTTTAGCTTTCTTCTTTTCTTTTCCTTTTCTTCTTTTCCTTCCATTTCCTTTTTTGTTTCGTTTTTTCTTTTAAGCTTTCTTTTTTTTCTTCTTTTTCTTCCATTTCCTTTTTTGTCTCGTTTTATTTTATTTTTTTAAGCTTTCTTTTTTTCCTTCTTTTCTCTCGTTTTTTTCGCCTTTTTTTGTTTCGTTTTCTTTCCTTTTTTTTCTTTCTTTCTTTTCTTTCTTTCTAGGGTTAGAATTTCGATATACATAATCGATTTTAAGAATTCGAAGATGGGAAAGAGAATGATAATGAAAAAAAAGGAAAAAGAAAAACTAAGAAAAACAGACCAAGAAGAAAAAATAATCAACATTAACAAGTAATTTCTAAATTAGGTACAGAAAATACACATAAAAGCGATGATATGATATTTATAATAAATAAGTAATTTTTCACTAGATAATGATAACGCGACGTATATAAAACTACTACTGATAAAAAACAAACAGCAGATAACAGATAATAAACTGATATAAAGACACACGTATACTATATCATTCACGAAATCAGATAACATCCTTTAAGAATATCATTTAGATAACATCATTTTAAAAAACGCAATTAAAAAAAACACCATTTAGAAAACGCAATTCAAAAACATAATTTAGAAAACAATTTAAAAATATAATGGAGAAAAAAACATAACTTAGAAAACAATTCAATGACATAATTTTTAAAAAATGATACAAAAAAAATCAATATCTTAGAAAACAATAAAAAAAAAACATCATAAAAAAACATAAATTTAGAAAATTCAAAAACATCCTTCAAAACCATAATTTAGAAAACAAAAAAAACATCCCATAGAAACCGCCGTGACAACAAAGAGAGAGATAGATATATTTGGGTACGCGTTCTCGAGCCAAGCACTATCCCCGCAGCTGGTGAGGTGTGTGATCACCACCTGCCGCGACCATACTGGTGAAACTGCAGACGTGGGCAGGTGGTGGACTGCCAGAATGGGTGAGGGTGCGGTAGGGAGGGGGGTGAGTGGGTGGGGTGAGTGAATGAGGGTAGTGAAAGAGGGTAGTGTGGGGGGAAGTTTGAGTGTGGGGTGACGTGGGTGACTGTGGGGTGAGTGGGTGAGTGTGGGGTAAGGGAGTGAGGATAGTAAAGGGGTGAGTGTGGGATGACATGGTGAGTATGAGGTGACATGGGTGAGTGTAGGGATGACGTGGGTGAGTGGGTGAGTGTGGGGTACCATGGGTGATTGTGGGGATGACGTGGGTAAGTGTGGGGTGACGTGGGTGAGTGTAGGGTGAGTGTGTGAGTGTGGGGTGACGTGGGTGAGATGAACTGCAGGAGGCTGTGATGACTTCAGGGGAAGGTGGGGGATTGGGTGGGTGGAGAAAGGGACCTGAGGGCAAGTTTAGGGTAACAAAGGAGTACTGAGGTGGACGAAAGTGGACAGGTGGAAGCAGCTAAGGTAGACTGGGGTAAAGGGGGGTGTGAGGTGGACATGGGTAGACTGAAGTGGACTTGTGGACTTGGCATGGATTAACTGGGATGGATTAAAGTGGACTAGTGATGGAAGATGTGGGTAGGTGTTGTGGATAGTGTTAGGTGGATGTAGGATGTGGATTTTGTGCTGAGTGGATGTCCACAGCGCTAAATGGTTTTTAAAGTTTATCTATGTAGTGTGAAATGGAATGTATTATCTTAAGTGGAAATCCATCATGGATATATTTCAGCGGGATGTGGACCTTGCATAGTGATAAGTAGATGTTGTTTTGGATAATATCAAATGGGCGTAACAGGCTAATTATGTATGACAGTTGATTGAATATTTATTGTGAGTATTATTACAAGGATATAGATAGATGCTGTACATGGCATTAGGGAATCCATTGTGGATATGCACTGTGCATATCAACAGGATAATGATAGATTTCTTTACACGTATACGGAAAGACATTCTACATGGCGTTAGTTATTTATCATGGATCGTGGGAAGTGGATAAGCATAGATGCAGTGTGTAAGTATGTGTAGGTCATATCACAATCACCCTGGTTAAAAATCGAAGGCAAAAACCAGAGCGTGGCGAATTGGAGAAGAACGAAAAAAAAGGATTAATAAACGAGGATGCGTGGAATAAAAACAAACGTTCTCTGCAACGTGATACCAGGAAAATGGGAGAGGCAAGGGGAAGAGGAAAAGAGAGAAGAGATCAACAAGTGGGCGTAAGAAGAGAGAGAGAGAGAGAGAGAGAGAGAGAGAGAGAGAGAGAGAGAGAGAGAGAGAGAGAGAGAGAGAGAGAGAGAGAGAGAGAGAGAGGGGGGGGGTGCGTTAGAGAGGGAGAGAAAAGAGAGAGAGGAGGGGTAGAGAAGAGAGAGAAGAAAGAGAGAGAGTAAACAGAGAAAGAGAAATAGAGGAGGGAGGGAGAGAAATGGAGAGAGAGAGAGGGGGGAGGGGGTGAAAGCGAGAGCGACAGCAAGAGCGAGTGAGCGAACACCACAAGAGAATCAGAAGGCGAGAGCGAGCGAGGGGGAGAGAGGGGAAGAAAAGGAGGAAGAGAAAAGGGAAATAAGTGGCTGGGACGGTAAGTGGGAGGAGGAGGAGGAGGAGGGCGCGCGGAGGCCAGCATGAAGGAGGGGAGGGGGGGAGAGGGCAAGGTGATGCTGGTGCGAGACAGACGCCTACTTCCTGGCCTGGGGCTGGCTACGACTGTGGTGGTTCCAGGCCGTCGACCTCCCTTTGTCCATCTTAAAGGTGAATTCTCCTCTTGGTATGGGTCTCCGGATGGGGGTAGGAAACGGGAAAATATGTACGCTGGTAGCATGTCCTTCTCAAGTCGTGGAAAGAGTCAAAAGGGCCAGTGGCGCTCGTACCAGCGGGCGGCACGAGACGGGGTAGGGAAAGGCGACCAGTCAAGGGCGCTTTTAATTCTCGCTCGCTTCTCTCTTTTTTTCTAAATAAAAAAAAACATTTTCCCGCCTTCAAAATGCAACAGCAAGCACACCCTCCCATCTTCCCCCCACCCCCCTGCATCCGAGATCATGCGCATGTAGAAAACCCCCAGCGCTTGCGATAGGGACTCGTTGGAAATCCCATGGCCAAGTGACCACGTTTCTCTGTGTCCAACACGCGGCCTTCCCCGTCCCAGCAGCACACAAGGGAGGCTTGCAGATGGCCATCCACGCTGCCCGCGCAATGGTACGGACACAAAGTTAAATCCTCGTGGTTCTCTTTGGTTAGGCTGGTACCGGTGGTATTCCTCGGGATTTCTTCTCGGGTCGTCTGAGGGGATTTGGTTTCTCTCTTGTGAGATGTAGAATTCTGGGAGCATTGTGGGGGAAATGGTATTAAAGTCTACTTGTTAAAACTTTTCGTTACCTTAGCAAAGTACGTTGCGAAGTAGAGTTGGCGATTCGGGATTTAAGATCAGTTTTGGTCTGGGATGCTGCGTCACTTATGGTAGTAATATCTTATAGATATTATCTTCCAGAATTTCTAGGACATCGCATACTGATTTTTGTTTTCAAATGACTCACTCCTTAGGGAGATAAAATAGATAAAAAGGACAACTGGCATCTGACCTCCGCGGGCACATGGTGCGTCGCGACGATCAGCTGATACACGTGAAGCAGCAGTTCAGCGTGGAACGTTGGTGAGTGAGGACGTACGGCACACTCTCTCTCCCGCGAGCGTGGCCTAAGAAATTCAGTGTGGTGATCGTAATACAAAGGTGAAATTGATATTGACCAAGTTCTTTTTTATATGCCTGTGAACACGATGGCAAGTTTGACTCTCGAGGAAGACTTAAACGCAGCCGCCTGCCTAGTTGCCATGAAGGGCGGCGGAAGGCTGAGTCCGTGGGCGGCGCCAGAAACCAACAGCCAACGCCCACGTCTTCAAGTAAAAACTCACCTACCACTGCAACGGCCATTCCATGACCCACCACCTACCCACACGCCCGCACCAAGCCCCGAACACTCTCCTTCAGTCGAATTCACACACCACGCCTTCCCCCTGTCGCCCGACCACATGTACCAGCCGCCCACCCCGCCCACCCCTCCGTCGCCGCCCACTCCCATCCTGGAGGACCACTCCTACTGCCCGTCGGCGATGGAGGCGTGCGACGCCAGCCCCGACCACTCGGTGTACCTGATCGCCCGCATCCTCGCCGACCTGAAGCGCGTGCAGCAGGATCGGGTGGACGTCCGCGAGAAGGCGCCGGAGTCCCTGCCGCCCACCGCCGCCGCGCCCTCGCCCGCCCCTCCCTCCCACATCACACACACCCTCCCCCTGCCCGCCCAGACGCAGGAGAAGCCCCTGGATTTCAGCAGAAGAGGCGTGGCGGAGGCAGCCGCGAGCGCCGCCGAGGAGCGGGACGCGGGCGCCGCCAGCCGCACCCCCGCGAGGTGCACGGGCGGGCGGCGAGGGCGGGGTCGGGCCAGCCAGCAGAAGGTGGAGGACAAGCGCGCCCACCCCTGCACTTTCCCCGGCTGCGACAAGATCTACGGCAAGTCGTCGCATCTGAAAGCACATCTGAGGACGCACACAGGTAAGCCGCCTTGCCTCTCGTGGGCACTCTTGGGGGGTGGGGTAAGGGAGGGGAAGAGGGAGGGAGGGAGGGGGAGGGGCGAGATAAAGGGTTTTGCCTCGTGGGTGATGGGAGGGGCATGGGGAGCCCCCCTCCCCCCTCCCCGCCCGCTTATTGCGTATGGCTTAGGTAGGTCAGACGTTTATCTAGGGCGTGTGATAAGTGGGTGAAAAAAAATGATGTACGAGAGATAAAACCGATAAGGAAAGTGTCCTCTGTGTCACACTGCAAGAGATCTTAAATTATACGAAATGAGATGAATTAGTGTAGCCCTTAGATAACGACTCGGGAACGAAGTGGCCAGTGACCATGACGGCAGCTGTCGGGCCACGCTGTCGGGGCCATCGGAGTGAACATGAGCCCAATTCTCTCTTCTTGTTCAACCTTTCTCTCATTCTAAGTTGGTGCATTAAACCCGCAGTCACAATTGGCAGAGCGTGTGTGCTTGCGCAGTCGTAAACTAGCGGTATCTCTGAACGGCGAAGACCGAGGCGCGGCGCCGCCAGATCCCACGTTGTGCAAGCATGGAGGCGCGTACTCTGGCCGGCCGCCCGGGCCCTCGGCCAGCGGCGCACCTGAAGCGGCGAGTGCCAGCCCGCCCGCGGCACTCCGGAGGGCCAACCCTTCACCTGCGAGGAGAGGGCGGGGCGCCGCTCGGGTCTCGGGGCGCACCTTGCCCTCCTTCCGCGCCCCTCCCCCCCCACCGGGCTGCATCTTGTCTTGAGAGGCAGATAACGAAGGCCGCTAATTAGGACTAGACTGCTGGCCATTACGCCGGGCCGGGTGCTCGTGCTGCCCGTGTGCATGTGGGTCTGTGTGCATGCGTGGCTTCATTTCGTCTGGGAAGAAAGAACGGGGCGTGGCCGATCGTCGAACGTTACCACGCCCACCTACTCAGCCGACCCGGAAAGAGAGAGAGAGAGAGAGAGAGAGAGAGAGAGAGAGAGAGAGAGAGAGAGAGAGAGAGAGAGAGAGAGAGAGAGAGAGAGAGAGGGGGGGGGAGGTGAAGGACCAAGGAGGAAGGAAGAGAGAGAGAGAGCGCGCGGAAGGCAGGGACAGAGAAAGAAACAAAGCTCTGAGAGGGAGAACGAGCGAAAGGTGCCGTTGGCCAGTCGATACGAGGGCCCTCGGCGAAGGGCAGAAGCCCCGGGCCAGCACAGCCTCTTCTCGCCTCCTTACGGCCAGATATCACCGCTGAATCGATAGAGCGTAGAAAGGGAAGGAAGGAAGACGGGTGGAAAGGGGACAAAACACGATGACGAAAGGCCTAGAGTGGGCGGGTGGGCGTGTGGGCGTGTAGGAGGCCGCCAACTTGTTGACATACTAGAGGGCGTGTTCGGCTGGCCTCGCGCCAAGGCTGCCTGCCACCACTGCGTTGCTGCCGCTGCTGCTGCAACCTGCAACCAGCAAGGACGATCACCTGTCCGCGCCCCGCCCCCACCCCCTCCTCGCTATCTCGCTCCCTCTCTCCCCCCCACCCAATCCCCTCCGCTCCCCACCCCCGGCGCCCCCTTCCCCGCCCCCGCTCGCCTGCTATGTCGGTACTCACGTCGCAAATCTGTTATGCGCCCTTAAGTGTTTGTGACCTTCAATGATTGCTCCATCGCGTGTGTCCTATTGATTATTAGGTGGCGAGGAGAGGGGAGGGAGGAGGGGGAGAGAGGGGAAAAACGGGGAAATGGTCTGAAAGGAATGAATGGCGGGGAAGGAGAAGAGAGAGAGAGAGACAGACAGACAGACAGAGAAAGTCGTGGACGGAGATAAAGGTAGACACAAACAGATGGCTTTGATGTCAACTTTTACCGTGGGAATACCTTTGGTGGACTTGGATTAAGAGTGTCTGTGCGAAGCATATGTACTCATGTATTGTACATCCTGGGAAACTACTTTGATGTACTGTAAATCCTTAAATACGACTGTACAGCTGTAGATGCCAGAGCGAAGGCATAGATTTAATTATGAAAAAAGAAATAGGTGAATGTTACCGCAAGAAAGAGGGAGGGGTTGGAACACCGTGGGGGGGGAGTTGATCTAGAAAGGAGAAGGAATTGGGAAGGGAAGGGGGGGGAGGGAGGGCAGGACCGCGGCCAAGAAGCTGAACTACGTAGTGTAAGAAGGGAGTAAATTGGGTGAGCTGGAGAAAAGGGTGGACGAGGGGAGAGGGGAGAGGGAGAGTTAAAGGTAGTGTAGGAATAGAAATAACAAATCGCTGTGCTTGCTGGATCCCCTTAACCATGCGAATGTTGAAGCAAGTATCTATCTGAAAGTCCCAATTTCCCCACCCTGTTCTCCTTCCTCGTCCTCCTCTTTCACCGTCTCCTTTTTCTCCTCCTCCTTTCCCCCACTTCCCTCTCACCCTCCCTTCCCTCCCCCATTCCCCCTCCCCCTGCAGAGTGGTTGCAGAGCGTAAACGGAGAAAGTTACACTGGGAGTGGGTAGGTGTGGTCGCGTCCGTTGGGGCGATTAGGGGAGAAGGGTTGGGGGAAGGGGAGGGGAAGGGGAGTGGGGGAGCTGTGTACTGGGAGACGCACTTGGTCCCGCCGACATAACACAGTCGGTACAGTAGAGACTAATTTATTGCTTTGCTGTTTACGCATTCACAGATGAATGGGGGCGTGGTCTGTATGAGAGAGAGATAGAGAGAGAGAGAGAGAGAAAGAGAGTGAGAGCGACTGACTTCCTTTGATTTTGTAATTGAGAGAGAGAGAGAGAGAGAGAGAGAGATAGAGAGTGAGAGAAAAGGATAAAAGAGAGAGAGAGAGAGAAAGAGAGAGAGAGAGAAAGAGAGTGTGTGTATGTGAGAGTCGCCCTTTTGTAAGTGCGTTGAGCGACGGGAGAATGGGGAGTCAGAGACCCGTTGTTGCTGTAGCTACTCCTGTTGTCGCTGCTGTTGCTGTTTACCATTGTTACCGAGATAACAATGATGAGGGAAGCTCCGGCGATAATGGCGCGAGGGAACGAATGGGCGCTCCGTTGATTGCCACGGTCGGCGAGCTCGGCGAGAGAGAGAGAGAGAGAGAGAGAGAGAGAGAGAGAGAGAGAGAGAGAGAGAGAGAGAGAGAGAGAGAGAGAGAGAGCGAGCACGAAGGCTGAATGGTGAAGAGGCTGGCGATGGTGATGGTGATAGTGATCTGTTCGCGGCAGTGGTGGTGGTGGTGGCTGGCGCCGGACCGGGGTGGGGGTGGGGGGGAGAGGGGGGGCGCGGGTAGGTGAAAGTGGTCTGGAAGTGATGTTGATGCGCGTTTTGCCGTGAAAGTGAGGGCGGGCAGGGAGGTGCAGGGCGAGTTGGGGGGGGAGGTAGAGAGGGGAGAGGGATGGGGGCGGGCGGCGGAGGAGGAAAGAAGGGGAGGAGGAGGAGGAGGAGAAGAACGGGAACGAGAGGAGAGGAATGCGAAAGGGGTGGGAGTGAGGAAGGGGGAGGAGGAGGAGGAGGAGGAAGAGGGAAAGAAAGGTCAAGGAAAATGCAAGAGGAGGAAGAACAGGAGGAGGAGGAGGAGGAGGAGGAGGAGGACTAGGACGAGGACGAGGAGGCAGCGGTCGATACCCGCCGTGCATCACAAGCACTGTTGAAACATTGATGGCGCCCCCAGGCCATGCGAAGGGACCACGTGTCCTTTAGTCACTACCTGACCCCCTTCTTTTTTTTCTTTACTTAATCTTGATTTCCACCACACTCCGCCTGGAGGGGGGAGGGGGAGGGGGACGCACCAGCCACCCTGACATTCACCATATCCCTGACACACATGGACGAACCACCTGTTTCCTCTAGAAGAATATAGGAAGGCTCTTGCCTCCGTCTCCGCGTAGCCGCTCGCTCGGCTTCTCAGTGAGGGAAAGGCCTTCTTAGTCGGCTTTTCCTCTTCGTCTTTCCTCTTCCCTCGTCTCTCCTTTCCTTGCGCTTCTCCTCCTCCTCCTCCTCCTCCTCCTCCTCCTCCTCCTCCTCCTCCTCCTCCTCCACCACCACCACCACCACCTCCTCCTCCTCCTCCTCCTCCTCCTCCTCCTCCTCCTCCTCCTCCTCCTCCACCACCACCACCACCACCACCACCACCACCACCACCACCACCTCCTCCTCCTCCTTCTGCTCCTCCTCCAAGCCCTTGAAGTCACTGGGACGCAGTGGTGGAAAAAAAACCTTGTATCAGCGTCACGACCTTGAGCGCGACGGCACGAGGCTGGGCTTATCAAGGCTTTGCACAAGGTTGCAGGGAAGGAGGACGCGTCACAGGGGAAGGGAGAAGGAGAAGGGAGGATAGGGATGGGAAGAAAGGAGGAGAGGGATATGAGGGGATAGGGATGGGAAGAAAGGAGGAGAGGGAGAAGAAGGAAGGAGGGGGGGAATGAAGAAGGGAGGAGAGGCAGGGAAGAGGGAATATAGGGAGATAAAGATGGTAGGATAAGTAGATGGAGAAAGCAGGGGGTGCGAGGGAAAGGGAGTGACGCAGGGATGAGGGACTAGAGTAGCTGCCAGCGGTGTAAGTAGGATGGGGAGGGAAGGAGGGGAAAGGAAGGAAGAAAGGAGGGGGGAAGGGAGGAAGACAGAGAGTGAGGGAAGGATGGAGGGAGGGAGCGTAGGAAGGAGTTACGGACGAACACTAGAAGCCGCACGGACCAAGAGGGAAGGAGGGGGAGGCGGAGGGAGAGGTAAGAAGAGATTGAGCGATGATGAGAGAGAGAGAGAGAGAGAGAGAGAGAGAGAGAGAGAGAGAGAGAGAGAGAGAGAGAGAGAGAGAGAGAGAGAGAGAGAGCGAACGTTCTGGTCTAGCGTGTCGGTGGCGAACCCAAATGATCTTGAAACTATGCGTGAAATGTATGAACAACAAAGTTTCGGTCGAGTGGATATAGTTAGCATGGGAGGCGTGGTCGGGCAGTGCGTATTGAGGTTGATAGATAAGAGTCGGAGATGTGCGAATGGGGAGAGAGAGAGAGAGAGAGAGAGAGAGAGAGAGAGAGAGAGAGAG